CCTTGTCAAATACATGACAGCATCTCACACAGTTTTATTTTAAAAGCTAAATATCACGATTGGGTCTGTGACTAAAGTGAGTGCAACAGTACAGACGTGGGAAGAAACTCACATTCCAGGGATAAATAGTTAGGATGAGGTGTTTAGTAAGCATCTGGCAGTTAAACATTAGTGTGAACCGTGCTCTGCTCTCTCATCCTGCAGCTGCGCTGGTAGAAGTGAGTCAGGGGTGAAAAAGTGCCCTCCTCCAACAAGAGCATACCAAGCTCCAGCTTAGTGACGTGCAGAGCGAGACTCTGAGCCGCCCACGAGGGATCTGGATGGACCGCTGACGGTGGCTGATGAACAGTCAGGGAGTGTTGCCTGGGAATTCCAGTGTGTTTTTGAGTTAAGGTGGTTATTGGTGTGACTTTCGAATTGTTTCACAAATTGCGAACATTCACATGATTCTCCAAACATCACACACACAGGAAAAGTGTGTACTGCTGACTTTCAAACTTTCCTCTAGTCCTGATTTAAAGTGACCAGTGTAAATATAATGTGCAAATTTCATTTGACTAACAATGACTCGTGCACACTCTGCATGGCAGCAATACTGCTTCGTACGGTGATGCCAGTTCCTGGCACATAAGAAAGCTGTGCATTAGATCCTAACTGAAAATTAAACACTTCTTTTCTGTTGCACACTCAGTCACAAACTGCACTCAGCAACAGCCAGAGCTGCAGAGTGCACCCACATAGCATTAAAAGTTACAGGGTGATGAGCTAAATTCAACCTGAAAGAAACAGACAAACAAAAATGCATCAGGACTTTATTCTGTGGATGACTGACATGAAGCCTGATTTTATACCAGATTTTTTATAGCAGGGTAAAGATGTGTCACAATGAAATGAATGTTTGATGTTCAAAAAGGCACAAATACCTTCTTCTTCAGAAAGAAACCAAAAGAGAAACAGCAGTGATGAAGATGAGTTTCACATTTCTGCTTTTATTCTTTTATTGTGATTACGAGTTTTACATGCAAGCATTTTTTTTACTAAATAACAAGCAGTGAAAGAGACACGTCACAGGAGCAGACTACAGCAGTTGCTCATAAGTCCTCATTAGATTCATATTTTCCTTAAATTAATAATCTTCAATCTTTTGTGGCTCGTGAGTCTATTCATACCTGTGTACAATACAGCACTTGTAGATGGCAGAGCTCCTGGCACTGCCAAAACACACATGGTACATATATAATTAATGGAATTTCCCCCCAACCCCTATTCCAAAAGTTCAGTGATTAAAGTTTATCCTGTTAAGCCCCAACGAGGCTGTCTGAGCTTGCTCTTTGAAATGACAAACCCAAAAGGAATGTAAACAATCTCGGTATCAAAACAAAGCTAACACTGGTGAGATCAATTTTACATTACATTTTAATAATGTAATGTAAAAGTTCCTATTGTTGATTCTAATCTTCTGATCTCTGAAATTCACATTTCTGCTGCTGAACACAAACCAAGAGTGATGGTTGAGTCAGTCAAGTTAATTAATTTCACTTTAATCTGTTAACAAGCTGAAGCGATTTCCACATTGTCTCCATCAGGCTGCGTGACAGCAAAGCTTCAAGTGTATCAAGTTCAAGTTTCAGAGCAGCTATTAAAACAGAAGCACTGAGTTTTTGTTCGAGTTGGAGCTTCTGAACAACTGCAAGTCACTGCTAACTAATATCTGCACAGGCACAGGTTGTAAAACTAAGCTGAATATTTGAACACTGCAGCAAAGACATCCAGTGTAAAGAGCAGAACATTGTAATAATGCTGAGATTATTCAAAGTGATTCATAGTCAGAATTATATTGTGTGATCTGGATGAAGCAATAACTGGATAATAAATGATAAAACAGCAAAATTCTGTTTTCTTTGCTCTCACACACTAAGTCAACAGTTAAACAAAAACCTATAACTGTCGGTGACATTTCACAAATCAGTTTCATTGTGAAGTTCCAGCTGTGTCTGTTCACTGACAACACTGGGAAGTGGGAACAGCAGCAGGAGACTGTTTAATGACAAGAGGTTTGAGACGAACTTCTTTTGCCTTTTTCTGGTTTCTGTAGATCACAAATCCAGCAACAGCAGCAACAACGAGGGCAGCAGCAGCAGCAGCAACTACCACACCAACGATTAGTCCAACAGATCCTGCAGGAGAGAAACAGGTGTGAGGTGTCAGCTGTCAGGTAGGTGATGAGTGAAGAACAGAACAGAATCCATTTCCTCTTCAAACTGCTGTCAGACATTATCTACTGCACTCTGATCACATCACTCAGACCAGCTGCTTTCTACAAAGTCTCATCAACAACATCTTTAGAAACAAACATCAACAACCAGGAAGCAGCTTCACCTCTGATCACACACACACTCAACTCTACTCACTCACCTGGAGGATCAACATGAAGGTGGATGATGCTGATGAGCTTCAAACCAATTGTTCCTTTCTTAACGACACGACACTCGTATGTTCCAGTGTCATTAATCGTCACATTGTTCAGAATCAGAGACACGTCTCCATCCTTCATCTGTTTGTCCTTTAGATCCACCCGGTCCTTAAAAGATGGATGCTGGTGCACTAAAGTTTTCCTCCCATCCCGATACAAAAAAACATATTCATCTCCCAGGTCAGCTCTTCTCCACTCCACAGTCTGGATGTTTTTTCGAGCTCGACATGTCAAAGTGACGTTCCTTCCAGACTCAGCTGTGACGTTTTTCTGGCCTGAAAGAGAAACTATACAGAGCAGAGAGGTAAAGGTTTCAAACAGCTGTTTACTTCAACAGAAAGCATCAGGATCACTGGACATGGACTGTACAGTTAACACTTGGGTAGCAGCATTTGGGACAATATAATGTGTTTCAATGACAATCCAGGGAATTTTCCTTTAAATTTAACTGTTAAAAAGTGTTTTTTCTGGAAAAAAGGAAAAACAAGATTATTAATAAATCGAGCAAAACATTCATAATTTGATTGATTATTTTTAAAAAAAGAAAATCCACTGACCAGTTCGACAGAAGGCCTGACAAATCAAAGAAGACATATAAAATGACTGATTATTTGAGAATTATTTCTATGATCAGAACAACTAAAGAAGTTTGCAACCAAGAAACACCCTCAAGGATTTAAAACAGAGTTTAATTACCATTATAAACAGAATCTTTTGGTTTTAGACTTAATAATAATAATAATAATAATAATAATAATAATAATCCTCCTCCTTCCTCGTGAGCATTTTTGACTTTGTTAGACTTTGTGAAGTCGTTTGTCTCAACCATGGAAAAAGTCTGCTTTGACTATAAGGGACTGTGTATAAAAATGTCAGTAACTCCGAAAGTCCTGAATTCCTTATTTAGTTAACTTTGATTTACTCCAGGTTTGTGTGGTTAAATTTTAATTGTACACAAACTCCACCTAAAACTTTTATTACTGATTACAGCCTATAACTTCACGCAGACTGATTAAAGTTGGTACACAGACCACAGCTTACCTTGAGAGGTACAACCCAGCAGGCACGCAGAAAGCAGAATCCAGATGAGTCCAGCCATTCTCTTCCTCCAGGACTTTCCAGATGTTTAGACCGTTGTCAGGACTCAGAGGTCCGTGGCGTGGAATGGACTCAGGCGCAGAACCAAAGACCGGAAGCTCCAAGTGATTTGCGAAAACAAAAACTGCTGAGACTGGAGTGGGGCTGGTGGAAACTGGCAGACCAGGGCACTGAAACATAGGAGAGGAAAATCAGAACAGTCCAAGGAGTTGTGAGTGTTTCCCCATTTGACAAGCTGGGATGGCTTACGTGTTTGCAGGCGGGGATTAGCTGGAGGTGGAGGCGAGGCGAGGTCCAGGCGAGTGCTGAGTCCAATATAGGTGTGCAGGGAGGCAGGCAGGTGAGAATGGCAGTTTGTTTGAAAAAGATTAAGCAGCAGCTGAATCCAGAAGCAAGGCTATGGCAGGGTTTGGAATGACGAGTCCAGGTACGGAGTCCAGACTAAGTAATGCACACTGATAAATACACAGGAACATGAGGCTGTGAACTAACTGAGGACTCATTGTGTGCGCTGCCAGAATAATTGCCTGCAGCTGAGGAGCTGATGCTGTGGAAAGTTACTCAGGCTCGCCCACACAATGACAAACGTTGACTCTGAGAAGTGCTTCATTATTTTAATGTTTCCTGGGTGGGTGTGGGCTCATTTAAAGTCGGTCAATAAAATAATTAAAAACAGATGTTAGCAACTCCATTTATTCTTGTAATAACAAGTTTTTATTATGCTGATTTATGCCTCTACAGTCCTTTTGCTTTTCTTTTTTTAAGGATTGTTACTTAGGTTACTGTTACTTACTTTTTTAAGGACTGTTAGGGCTTAAATCTAGTAAATAAAGTGTCTTCAGATGTCTGCTGTTGTTTCCTGAATAATCTGATCTGGAATCAGTCCACAGTGAACAAACACACTGAGCAAAAGTGTAATCTGAACTAAAGTCAAATCTTTAAACTGAACCAAGAATCAAACTGCAGGAAAACCTGATGGAAAACCTGCTCACTGACCTTCTCTCACTTTAATCAGCACAGGGTGCGATGTAGACAGCAGTGATGATTTTTTATTTTTAGCCTGGCTCTCAGTCAGCTCAGAATAAATAGATTCAAATGTTTGGATTATTAGCCTTCATTGTTGGTGTTTGTGCTCACAGGTACAAACTACCATCAGTCTGCACCATTAAACAGACACATAATGAACTTGCATATATATAAAGTTCTTTTCTGTCTCACTGACAACTCAAAGTGCTGTTGACTAACCACACACTCATACAGCAGCTTATTCTGTGCACTTCAAGCACCTCACCTACCTCACATACATGACCCACCTAGAATCACCAGTTAGCGACACATACAGTGGGGCAAAAAAGTATTTAGTCAGCCACCGATTGTGCAAGTTCCCCCACCTAAAATGATGACAGAGGTCAGTAATTTGCACCAGAGGTACACTTCAACTGTGAGACACAGAATGTGAAAAAAAAATCCATGAATCCACATGGTAGGATTTGTAAAGAATTTATTCGTAAATCAGGGTGGAAAATAAGTATTTGGTCACCTCAAACAAGGAAAATCTTTAAGATCTGTAAAGGTCATTTTTAGAACAGATCTTCAGCGAGGAAACAACAAACTCTTATTAAAGGTTTTACAGCCAAACTGTCACAAATAAGGTTTTAGTGTGAAAGAGAGTTTGGTTTGGGTTGCAGTAATGCTGCTGCTAATGTACAGAACAGGACACTTTGCCAGAGTCAGTGGATGGGAGCTGGAGGAGTGAGGGCAAGCTCTCCTCTAGCTGCAGGGACAGCTGAGCAGTTCTTTAGATGTGTGTGCAGGTTTGTTGAGCCTGCTCTCATGGATATTTCCAAATTGTAAGTTCTGCACTAAGCTTTGCAGTAGGGCTGAGACATGTTATACCGGTCACGGTAATACTGGTACAATGTTTGGCGATAATAAGAAAATGAAAGAATATGGGTAAAAGGTGCATGAGCAGTGTTTGTGTTTTCATTCACACATAGAGGCAACAGAGAATGAGGAGGGGAAAAGTGGATCGTTGAATAAAAGAGATTAAAGAGAAGTAAGCAGAATTGGTTAAGAGTGAAGATCTAGTAGGCCATGAACTCTGGCCTCCTTTTTGAGAGCCTGCGGTTTTATACTTTCACATGCCTTCACTTCAAACCCTTCACAAAGTTCACACGACTTCCTGTGCTCACACTGAATGCTAATATTGGTCTCACACCAAAAAAAGACTCCAGGGGCCCGTTCTTCGTACCTCGCTAAGTAAGTTAGCTGGATTTGATTGTTGACGATTTCGCGTGATCCTGGATCGTTCGGTTCTCCGAAGCTCATCCGGGACAGATCCGTAAGTGTGTGCACTGATTCCTTTGCCCGTTTTGCCTGTGAAGCCATCGTTCTCTAACACTTACTTATTTACCAATGCCAAATAAACTTCCTGCTCCATCTTTTTCTTCCTTCATCTTGTCCTTTTAACACAGCTTGCGTAAAAACAAAATAAAATAAATACCCACATGTGTTGAGTTTAATGTTCCTTAGTTACCTTTAGAAAACTAAATTGCTTTCCTCTCACTGACTCAATGAACTGTTTTATTTCTCTTCAGTTCTGATCTCAGTGCTGAGCTGCACAGCAAACCAAGGTCACTAAACTTAGTTATTTATTTATTATATTTATAAATAGTTTTGTTTTTTCAAATATGTTAAATTATTGTGGTGTCGCGATGAGGAATAACCGGGGATGTTAACTAAGATACTGACAACGCCACCTGGGGGAGGGCGTTACACCCCAGGAAAGATTTCTCTAGCCAATGTACGTGTTGCACTGGCTACCAAAGCCCACAGACTCGTTATTAACGGCAGAGGTGAGACAAAGGAAGTTTACAAATCAAAATTTATTAAGAGGAACTACTAAAGACATACAACTATAAAATCAGGAAGGCACCTAGGGTAGCAGGGTTGAGACGGCAAAATAGTTAATTAAAACACTTTATTAACAAACGATGATTAAAATGACCAGACCCCCTCCCACGATGCTACCCTAAAACAATCACAGCATGATAAAAGAATAACTAAAGAAAATAGTGGAGACTGGCCACTTGAGGAGGAGTGCCCAAGGGTGCCACCAATTACTCACCCTTGTAACTTCACTGCAGACCTCACTGTCACTCACACTAAACTCTAAATGGTGAAATCTACCTATGCCTGGTGTGTACACTCGCATGCATCGGGAAGGGGATTCCACCTCACGTGCCTAGCCCCTCAGCAAGCGGCCGCACCTCCACTAAAGCAATAAAACAAAGCATAAAACGTTACACACATTAATAAAAGATCTACATAAAACAAATACACCCCAAAGTACTGTTCGTTATAAAAGCATCACATAACAAACAAAACAGCATGACAAGACAGCAGCA